CCCCGGCCCCATCCTCCCCGGACCACCACCATCGCCGCCACCACCACAAGCACCACGCGCTGCTGCTCCACCCCAGGTCACCCCAGGTGCGTTTGCGCGCGCAAGCATGCAGAGGACGGCCGACGCTACAAATTGGACTCGACATGAATCTATTTTAGCGCCATCCTCACGTTGTTCGCGCCGCCCGCCCCGCCGCGCCACGCCGTGTTCTACTCAGGGCGCCCCGCCCCACCCCGCCGCGCCCCGCCGTGTGGCGCAACGAGCAATGCGAGTCCTCAAGGACGGGCGCCTGGCGGGGCGTCAGCAGGACAGCACTCGCTTTGTACTCCGCCGTCCGTCACAAGCAGCGCGGCGGAAGCGGCCGGCGCCAGTGGGGGGTGGGGGCTGGGGGCGGCCGCCGTGTATGCTGCTGCTGCTCGCCAAGCACCCCACGCCGCAGGTATGGCCAGTAGTATCGACGCGCACTGATTGCTTCCTCGCCCGAGTCGTATCGATTGCTCGCGTTGGTTTACATATTTGCCGCGCGAGGTGGTCTGGTTAGTGCCGCGGGGGGGCTGGCCGGGGTCGAACCCTTGCGCTGGCAGGGTCGAAGGTCTTTAGCTCGAGCGGTGACGTCACACACACTCACACACACTGCCGGGCGGATGTTCTCGCCCGCCGGCTATTTTCGTGTGTTGCGTATGGAAGGGTGAATTTTTTTCTGTTTGTTTCCTCTCGGCGCCGGGCAGGCAGGCAGGGAGTGCGACGCGATGCGCCGCGAGTGAGCGCCGCCCATGAGCGTGTGCGGCGCCGTGCGCAGCGCGGGCCTGGCGGGCCACCAGGGCGTGCACCAGGGCGTCGTGCCCCGGCCGCTCGCCCCGAGCGGAAGCGCGATAGACTTATCTCGACCCCCTGCGACGACGGCCTCGTCGGCCCGCCGGGAAGACGATGAGGGGGCCCGGCCGGCGGTGGAGTTCGCCGTCCACGGCCTCGTCCGGGACCGAGCCGACCGCGTCCACGGCGGCGGCCCGGGCCGGGGCGCGAGGATGACCTCCATGGCGTCGAGCCCCATGACGCCCGAGTCGCTGTCGACCGACTGCAGCCTGGTGGACGAGCTGGATCTCGACTTGTGGGAGGGGCAGTTTGAGTTCGTGGGCCCCGACTTCAACAAGGACGACGAAGACGCGGAGCACGCCGACGACGTCATCACCCCCGCCATGGTGCGGCGCGCGCGGGCCGAGCGCTCGCGCCTCGATGACCTCAACGCCGACGCCGAGGCCCAACAGTGGTGCGACCACCTCAACGATCAAGTGAGTCGGCGGCAGCTTCCCGGGCGCGAAGCACGGAGGCCACGGCCAGCAGCCCGCGTACCAACAACTCGCCTGGACATCTCGCGTTGATGACCTGGAGGCCGAGTAATCGAACTGGTCTCGCACCTGTGGCAGCCCTTTGAGGTTGGGGTTCACGTACTGTTGTACATTCCCCTTGAGCGGTTACTTTGTATTTTGGGGATCGCAGCCGTTGTTGGGCATGGTGCGCGGTGGTACGTGCCCGTCGGACGGATGACTGCAGCGGGGGTGTTGCGCACGATGATGTGTTTGCGTGTGACTGACTTGTGGGTCGCTCTTGTTGCAGGTCCAGATGCTGCAGCAGCAGGTGGGCGTCCTGGCCGACAACCAGACCAGCACGGACGAGCGGTACACGCGCGCCAAGCAGGACAACGCGGCGCTGCAGGCCCGGGTGCTGATGCTCGAGGAGCAGCTCAGGGAGACCGAGCTGCGCGCCGACGAGCGTCTGCAGGACGAGCAGAAGCGTCACCGGGAGATCATGGTGCGCGTCGAGCGCGAGAAGCAGCTGGAGCTGGAGAACTTCGCCATCCGGCTGCAGACGGCCGAGCTGGAGGCGCAGACCTTGCGGGACGAGACCAGCCGCCTCCGGCTGCAGTCGGACCACATCCGGTCGGAGAAGCTGCGCGTCCAGGAGGCCCTCGTGGACTCGGAGGCTGCGCTGGCCGCGCTCCGGGACGAGGTGGACCAGCAGAAGGACGGCCTCCGGCAGCGCGAGGCTGAGCACCAGCAGCGGGAGCACGTGAGTCCACCCCACAATTCTCAAAAATAGAGTGTACCGGGACAGGATGTATTAGAGAACACACCTGTTTTGCAGTTTTATGTACTCCTTTGGAAATGGGGTGGAGGGCGTCGGTTAATCCGCAACACCGAGGTGTATTCTCTGGTGCACCCCCTGCTGTCACTACTTCCCCACTAACGCGTTATTATTGCTCCCTTTTTGCAGCTGGTCGAGGAGCTGAGCCTGGAGATCGAGCGGCTGCGCGAGGCGGCGCTGCGGCAGTCTGCGCGGGCGCGCGAGCACGAGCCGGACCAGGCTGCGCAGGCGCTGGCGCTGAGCGCGCAGCTGGAGCGGGTGCGGGACGAGGCGCGCTCGCTGCGGGAGGCCAACGAGGAGCTGCAGGCGCTCGTGCTCACCCGGGGCGTGGAGGAGGGCCGCAGCCTGCTGGGCTCAGCCAGCCTGGCCGCCGAGCTCGAGGCCATGTCGCAGGACGAGGTGGGTCCACGTAAACCTCCCCCTGCACACCTACACTTGCTTGGGCGCATATTGACTTGCATGCTTAGTTCTTTTTCACACCTACAGACTAGCTCCTTTTGTAATTTAGTTTGCTTCCCCGGCCAACTAGTCATTTGAAAGTACTTACCATTGAGCTCAACTGGAGACTGTGCTCGGACAGTCGGTTTAGTCACTGTATTGAAAAATGAGGGCATGCTTCTCTTCTAAAATAAATCACAAAAAGTGAACAATTAAAATTTTTAATTTCTTCCTATTTGATCCGATACTACATAATCCCCTCTGCTTTAATAAAAAGTTGTTTTTCTATCTTCTTATTGCATGGATGTAGATTTGAGAGTTCCAATATACACAACATGACTAAAACAAGACGTTTTCTGGTTTCAATATCCTCTAATCAGAATAAATTGCTGAATAAACCAGATCTGGGGAATAAATGCGTCTAACTTATGTTTTCTAGTAAAGAAAACTTATTTTTGTTTATTGTTTCTTCTTTCTTCACAGAATATGGATAAGTCACTCGATCAGAGCTCAGTAGCAAAGGTATGCTAAATGCTTTCGCTTTTTGGGGGGACTGTTTACAATGTCCTTTTTAGCTACGTTGTAGTTAGTTCTGCAAGCATGGTTTTGAGTTGCATTCCTAAGATTTTTCTCATTGATGATGTACTATCAAGTTATCATGTGCTGTTATTTTGTTTTCACTATTCTATCACATGTTGCTAGTCGGAAAATTCTCTGGTTCCGATGCCTCAGTTCTAAAAGTTTTGTTTATTTTTCTTCTTTCAGATACGACAAGCCTTAAAGGAGCAGCAGGAAATGAATGCACAACTTCGACAGTACATTGATGGCATTTTAATCAATATAATTGAAAACTATCCTGAACTTTTAGAAGTTAGAAAGCCTTAAACAATGGTTAACTAACGATTTTACTAGAAATTTTTTTTAAGTGTTCCTTTAAAAGAAGGAATTTGTGTGTTAATTACAATGTGTTACTGATGTGTCAGATGAAGCATTTTGTTTTCATGAAACTTTAGCCCGCTTAGCCATGTGAATGCTGTATGATAAATCTTGATGTGAGGAGGTGATAATTAGCCTGCCATTAATTTTGTTATTGTGTATTGTTACATTTTTATTACTATTCTATCGCTTCTACTGTTACTGCATAATGTGTGAAGACGAGGTTATTTTATGGTTAACAAGTCAGAAAAGATGTTATTAAGTGCCCGAGATGTCATGGTATTTAGAACTCTTACAGCCTTACTGCCCCTATTTAAAACCCTCGTAATAAGATTGACAATGCCATGTAGAGCAATCTTTTATTACCAAGAGCAATATTGTACTTTTTTTAAT